ACATGTATACTTTCATTTCTGCTCTCCCTACAGCTCTCAGCCTAGTATCTGTTACAGAGTTGGTGCTCCACATATATTTGCTGTAAATGAGAGAAAAAGGAAGAGAGGGAGGGAGGAAGTTTTAAAAGCATATAACCCCATTAAATAGATCAGTTTGAACATTTTCATTCCCATTGACCTGGAACTTAGTACATATTCACTGGTTCTAGTCAGGTCAACAAGCACTTTAGTGAGCACCTGCTGATAAAGCAGCACGGTGTAGGGCTAACAGCCAAAAGTGCCTGACAGATGGGGTAGATCAGTGCATATATTTTGCAAGCTTTCACAGAGGCTTTCTAAAATGAGTGATGGTTATGGAAATAAAATATATACATTTTCCCACAATTAGACGCCACCAAAAAACTCAGAGAACTGGGAGCTGGAGTACTGAATCACCTCCTTCTGCCTTAGCCACCACAGAGAGAAAAGGGGAAATGAAAGGGGCCTGGGTTCTAGTTCTGTGTCACTAACACCCGAAGTGGCACTTGGCAAGCTGTTTGACCTCTGTCACAGTTTATTTATAAAAAAGAGAGGGTTGAATGATTTTCTCTGAGGATTTCTTCTGATAGGAAATTCTATGCTTATAAGTCACAAAAATATTTTTGACCAAAATATTTTATTTGCTGACTCTAAAGGCCAAAGGGAGCTCTGGTAGTGTAGTGCCTAAGGTACTTGACTATTAACCAGATGGCAGGCAGTTCAAACCCACCAGCATCTCCTCAGAAGGAAGATGGGGCAATCTACTTCCGTAGTGATACTGCCTCGGAAACCCAAGGAGGGGTCGCTATGAGTCGGGTCCAACTCAATGGCACATAACAACAACAACAACAACAAAGTCCAAAAATGCTGGAACGGATTTCAAAAGACAAATGATTTACCTTGGATATAAAATAGAATTAAAAACCCACTGGTTCTGACGAGTTGACTCTGACTCACGGTGACTCCGTGTGTTGTGGAGCGGAACTGCACTCAGCAGGGCTGCCTGCTCCATCTGCTCTTTCATATAGGGAAACTTGGGAGAGTTGGAACCTGATGGGACCACCTTGTTTTTCCAGGTCTCGCAATGTTCTGCCTTTGGCAGGGTGCAGTCACCACTTTTCTACTGCTCTCTATTTAGGGGGAAATATTTGAGTTTCCCTTTAGGACAGGTTTTAGTTTACACAGGTTCTAGCTTTCCCAAGTTTTACTGTTTTTCAAAAGAGGCTGACTTAAGACATACTCTAAACCAATACTGTCTAATTGTCATAATAAAACCCATTCTCAAATGGCATTATAACCACAGGTAAAGGGATTAGGATTTATGACACATATTTTTTGGGGGACACAATTCAATTCATAATAGTGGTAAAGAGTCTGTCACTGACCATTTTCTTCCATAGGGCTTTTTACCAGTTGAGACTGTGGGCAGGGAATTGGTTGGTCATACAGAAGAAGGGTGGTTATGTAGGGTTTGTGCAACAATTTGGAAACTTCAGTAGTTCGAAATGTATAGGTGGTTTCCCCCAAATTATGTATGCAGAATTTGGGGCAGAAGGGGAAGGCTAAGAAGTTTTTTGTTTTTTTTTAAAGGTAACTGAAATCTTCTGTAGTTTCATGGTATTTAGAAGACAAAGCCACCTATTCAAGAACTTTACTAAATTTGGAAGTGGTATTGGGGGAGAGGCCAAAAGAGCAAAGCATGAAACCTTCAAAGGACAGGCTAAACCTCCCACTGTTGTTTTAGGTCTGATGTGTACCTTTTCTAACAAAGCTAAAAAAAAGAAAAAGAAAAGTCATCTTCAGTCTTCAGGGTTCTTTTGTTAACAATGTCAAGCATATAATAAATAATTACTAGACATTTATAGGAGCTCTGGTAGTGTAGTGCCTAAGGCACTTGACTGCTAACCAGAAGGCTTGCGGTTCAAACCTACCAGCCACTACTCCGAAGGAAGGTTGGGCAATCTACTTCTGTAGTGATACCGCCTCAGAAACCCAAGGAGGGATTGCTATGAGTCCAGTCCGACTTGACGGCACATAACAACAACAACAACAGGCATTTTATAAAAAGCTCTGGTGGTACAGTACCTAAGGCACTTGACTGTTAATCATAAGGTTGGCAGTTCCTCCACAGAAGGAAGACTGGGCAACCTACTTCCGTAAAGATTCACTGCCTCAGAAACCCAATGGGGGTCACTGTGAGTTGGAATTGACTCAATGGCAGTGGGTTCAGACATTTTATGGGCAGGAAAAGGAGACTGATAAGCAAGATAAAAAAGTAACAATAGGAGACCCAAAGGCGATCCAGATACTGGAATTCACAGACAAGGACCTTAAATACCTATGACTAATATATGAATGTAAAAGATGGACAAAATAGATGAAAATATGGAAAATTTCAACAGAGAATTAGAATTCTTCAAAATCATCAAACAGACATCCTAAAACTGGAAAATAAAATCTCTGAAATTAAGTCACTAAACACCTTTAACAACAGCTCAGCCCAGCATAAGATAGAATACATGAACTTCATTTGTTAGATATTATGAAGTGTCTTATTTAAAGAAAAGAGAATTTTGTCTCTTTTTATAACATTTTATTGTCATTTGGGTAAAAGTTTACAGAATAAGTTGGCTTTCTCTTCCATAATTTTTTACTTCACTTTTTCTGTATTGTATTTCTGTATTTGTTATTCCTTTGGTTTTTGAGTTGAGTTGTATGAAGACATACTTCTGATGTTTATAAGTTGGGTGTTGGTTTACTACACTTCCTACAACTTATCCTTGTCAACAAGGCCAGTCAGTCACCTTCTGAAGATTTAAGGTCACTGGCTTATTTCCAAAACTTTATGCTGTAGCCATTACAACAAGGGTAACAAATTCTCTATCCTGCCTAATTGTCCTGTGTAATGTCAACTGGTGGAACTGAGAACAAACTAACCTATTACTCTCTTTCTGTGTTTTAGCTTCCTGGTTTTCAAAATAGACTGCCAAATAGGTGGCAATTCACATTACAAACCACTCAGTTGACTGCTTTTTCCCAGAGACTTGTTTCAGAATTCTGATGTTTTGTTAGAGCAAAACAACATCAAACAAACATTTCAAGAAGTCAAGGGCTTGGGGAAAAATCCAAAATCAACTGATGAGTGGCCATGTAAGCACATCATTTAACTGCAAAAAACATATTTTAAAGTACTAAAAGAATACAATGACAGATTCACTAAAGTCATAAAAAAAATTAATGCTGACTATGTACCAAACATTGTTCAGGAGGATATATATATATATATATATATATTTATATGGTCCTATTTTCACAATGCTTACAAATTAATTGGGGGCAAAAGTTACTTTATACTTTAATAACTGTGCAATAATAATTGTTGTTGTTGTTG